AGACAACCACTATTCTGATTTCTAACAACTAAGATTAATTTTTCCGGTTTTTTTTTTTTTAAATGCTTTTATGATTGGACTTATATACTTGTTTATGTCTGGCTTTTCTTCTTATAACATTATGTTTAAGAAATTAAGCCATATTCTTACATACAGTTACAGGTCATTCATTCTTGTTGTTGAGCAATATTACACTAAGTGAATATACCACAATACACTAAATGAATATACCAATATTTGTTCTTTCTCCTGTTGGGCATTTGGATAGTTTCTAGTTTGGAGCCATTATGAATAGTGCTGCTGTGAACATTTTTGTACATATGTTTTGGAGGCACACAGCCCATTCCTTTTCTTCTCCCTAGTATTATTGAGAGATTAGGTTGGTCAAAAGTAATTGCCGTTGAAAGTAATGGCAAAAACTGCAAATACTTTTGCATCAACCTAATATCATTGACAAATACAGCTCATTCCTTTTTTTTTTTTTTTTTTTTTTGAGAAGGAGTCTTGCTCTGTCACCCAGGCTGGAGTGCAGTGGCCAGATCTCAGCTCACTGCAAGCTCCGCCTCCCGGGTTTACGCCATTCTCCTGCCTCAGCCTCCCAAGTAGCTAGGACTACAGGTGCCCACCACCTTGCCCGGCTAGTTTTTTGTATTTTTTAGTAGAGACGGGGTTTCACCGTGTTAGCCAGGATGGTCTCGATCTCCTCACCTTGTGATCCGCCTGTCTCGGCCTCCCAAAGTGCTGGGATTACAGGCTTGAGCCACTGTGCCCGGCCAGCTCATTCCTTTTTAATTATGTTACTACCTATAATGATTTATAAACAGAACAAAAATAATAACTATGGCCAGTCACGGTGGCTCACGCCTGTAATCCCAGCACTTTGGGAGGCCAAGGCGGGTAGATGATGAGGTCAGGAGATCAAGACCGTTTGGGCTAACACAGTGAACACTGTGTCATGGTTAACAAGGCTAACACAGCTAACCCCGTCTCTACTAAAAATACAAAACACAAAATTAGCCAGGCGTGGTGGCGGGTGCCTGTAGTCCCAGCTCCTCGGGAGGCTGAGGCAGGAGAATGGCGTGAACCTGGGAGGCGGAGCTTGCAGTGAGCCAAGATCGTGCCACTGCACTCCTGCTTGGGTAACAGAGCAAGACTCCAGCTCAAAAATAATAATATAATAATAGCTGTGAGGAGATTGCAAAGCTTATGCTCAATGGTAGTTGTTAGTCAACTATTTTTCAAACTGGATTGCACCTTTTTATTGGGTTTTAAAATAGTGGTTTACAATCAGCATTTCAAAGACATAATAGAATAGAACAAAAATCAGAGGACATTGCACATAGTAAGGATAAGGTCTGTTTCATAGACTTGTTTCAGTTACATATATGGATATGTATATAATATGAAGAATATATGTATATACAGTGTAAAATGTATTTCTTTGTGTCACAATGAAAATTTGAAGGTCACACTATTGGCCTATGAGTTTTAACTCTGTCTGGACTGGAAGCTGGAAGTTGTCCCACTAGATTTGAGATGGAGTCTCACTCCATCACCCAGGCTGGAGTGCAGTGACTTGATCTCGGCTCGCTGCAACCTCCACTTCCCAGGTGCAAGTGATTCTCCTGCCCCAGCCTCCCGAGTAGCTGGGATTTGAGGCACACACCACCATGCTCAGCTAATTTTTGTATTTTTGGTAGAGACGGGGTTTCACCATGTTGGTCAGGCTGGTCTCGAACACTTGACCTCAAGTGATCTGCCTGTCTCAGCCCCCCAAACTGCTGGGATTACAGGTGTGAGCCACTGCGCCTGGCCTCACATAATTTCTGACTTCAGCTTCTATCATATTGGCAATCAAGATCACTGAACTTAAAAAAAAAAATCACTGAATTTCCTCTCCTTCAGCTGACAGACTTAGAATAGAATCATCAGCTAGTGGTGGGGGCTCATACTTGTAATCCCAGTGCTTTAGGAGGACCGCTTGAGGCCAGTTCAGGACCACGCTGGGCAACATAGCAGGACCTTATCTCTACTAACAATGATTTTTAAAAACAGCCAGGCATGGTGGCATGTGCCTGTGGTTCCAGCTACTTGGGAGGCCGAGGGGATGATCTTGAGCCCGGGAGTTCGAGGTTACAGTGATTTGACTGTGCCACTGCACTCCAGCCTGGGTAACAGAGCTAGACCCTGTCTCAAAAAAGGGGTAGGGGGAGAATAATTGTTGCCTTTTGGCTCCAGTGGGCAATTTAATCTTTGAGCACGTCTAGATTGGTGGACAGCCCCACTCGTCACCACACTTCTGCCCAATCCCAAAGTGATCCTTCTGAGTTCTCCCTTCTAGAAGCAGAGTTGTTGCAAAATGACCTTAAAACGTAAGTTGTCACTAGGGCAAGATCTGCCCTAAAGTTAGGCTTTAGTTTGGTGTATATGGTGTGTTTATGTTATTTTCAATTACATGTGACCTTTGAACAACACAGGGGCTAGGGATGCTGGCCCCCCAACCCATACCCCCTGCACAACCAAATCCTAGTATAACTTTTGACTCCCTCAAAACTGAGCTAGCAATGGCCTTAGCCTACGGTGATTGGAAGCCTTACTGAGAACATAAACAGTTTAGATTAGCAGATATTTTGAATGTTATATGTATTACATATTGTATTCTTAAAGTAAGCTAGAAAAAATAAAATGTTAAGAAAATCACAAAGAAGAGAAAATAAATTTACTTTTTATTAAGTGGAAGTAGATCATTGTAAAGGTGATTCATCCTCATTGTCTTCACATTGAGTGGACAGAGGAAAAGGAAGAGGAGGGGTTGGTTTTGCTGTGTCGGGGTGGCAGAAGTGGAAAAAAGTCCAAGTGTAAGTCCACTTGTGCAGTTCAAACACATATTGTTCAAGGGTCAGCTGTACTTGCTTTTCTTTACAAGTTGGTAGATTTTGTTTTTTTTTTTTTTTTGAGACGGAGTCTCGCTCTGTCGCCCAGGCTGGAGTGCAGTGGCCAGATCTCAGCTCACTGCAAGCTCCGCCTCCCGGGTTCACGCCGTTCTCCTGCCTCAGCCTCCCGTGTAGCTGGGACTGCAGGTGTCCGCCACCTCGCCTGGCTAGTTTTTTTGTATTTTTTTTAGTAGAGACGGGGTTTCACCGTGTTAGCCAGGATGGTCTCGATCTCCTGACCTCGTGATCCGCCTGTCTCGGCCTCCCAAAGTGCTGGGATTACAGGCTTGAGCCACCGCGCCCAGCCACAAGTTGGTAGATTTCATGTAAAAATCAAAATTTCTGCATCTGATACGGTGGCTCACACCTATAATCCCAGCACTTTGGGAGGTTGGGGTGGGAGGATCCCTCGAGCCCAGGTCAAGACCAGGCTGGACAACATAGTGAGACCCTATCTCTACAGAAAAATTAAAAAATTATCCAGATGTAGTGGCCCATACCTGTGGTCCGAGCTACTTGGAGGCTGAGGTGGGAGGATCGCTTGAGCCTGGGAGTTGAAGGCTGCAGGGAGCTATGATCATACCACTGCATTCCAGCCTGGGCAACAGAATAAAGAAACCCTGTCTCAAAAAAAAGAAAATCAAAATTTTGCCACTTGAGTTCTGGTAATTCCTGGCCTGCATAGTCCCGTGACAGCATTTGGCTGAAGCCCTTGAGGTGACTGGCATGCATTCTCTCCAGTATGCCACAACCCACCTCCCTTGCTTCACGTATTTCTGTTCCTTGTCTGGACTTTGTAGGCAGTTGTCCTTACCACTCTTGCCCTACAGACTGTAGGGGTAGAGGTGGATTGGAGGTTGACCATGGATAGAAGAACTGTAGTCTTTTCCCTTCCCTGAACTAAAGTGAAGAGTGCTCATTTTAGTTAGTGCCTGTGGGGAGGCAGGCCCTCAGGGATTGTGTTGGGTTTTTCCCCCTCACATTTTACCTTTTGTTTTTAATGCCTCTGACCTTTTATTAAGTATAAAGCTATCACTATTATCATCATTGTCTTGTTTGATTTATTACCATGCATACATATTAGAATATCATAGATATTATGAAAGATATTCACAATGTTATTACACGAGGAAAGCAAGTTGCAGGGTAATGAATATTATATAATCTTTTTTCTTTTTTTTTTTTGGATACAGAGTCTTGCTCTGTCACCCGGGCTGGAGTGCAATGGTGCGATCTTGGTTCACTGCAACCTCTGCCTCCCAGGTTCAAGCGATTCTCCTGCCTTAGCCTCCCAAGTAGCTGGGATTACAGGCGCCTGCCACCACGCCCTGCTAATTTTTGTATTTTTGGTAGAAATGGGGTTTTACCATGTTTGCCAGGCTGGTCTCGAACTCCTGACCTCAGGTGATCTGCCTGCCTCAGCCTCCCAAAGTGCTGGGATTACAGGCGTGAGCCACCACACCGGGCCTATAATCTCATTTTTTAATGTAAGATTTGGTCTTTTAGATCAGAAGTCAGCAAGGTTTTTTGGTAATGAGCCAGACAGTAAATATTTTAGGCTTTGTCGATCACATGGTCTATGTCACAACTAGTCAACTCTGCCACTGTAGCAAAAGTTGCACAGATAATATGTAAATGAATGCGTTTGCCTGTGTTCCAATAAAACTTTATTTACAAAAACAGGAAATAACTGGCAAGTCATAGTGTGCCAGTTCCTGTTTTAAAGTATTTGAGGGGCTGGGCATGGTGGCTCATGCCTGTAATCCTAACATTTTAGGAGTCTGAGGTTGAGTGGATTGCTTAAGCCCAGGAGTTCAAGACCAGCCTTGGCAACATAGTGAGATTCTATCTCTATTAAAAAATAAATAAATAAAAATAAAATATTTGAGGACCCAAATCTTTAGTGTCTAAGGCTTAAGAAAATATGTGTTACTTTAAATAGCAAAAGGTAGAAACAAGATGCATAAAAAAGATTTTCTTTCTAGTTCTGCTGCTTTGAATGTGTTCTCTCATGGTGAAGAATTGTCTCAAGATGGCCAATCTCACATCTTTGTCTTTCTCCAATAGACCCAGGGCCAGGACCTCAGCACAATTTCACCAGCAATCATCTTTGAATCAATGTTCCAGAATTCAGATGATACGGCAATTCAGGAAGATCCTCAACAGACAGGTTTGTCACATGGACTCTTTCTACTCACATCTCAGCACTTGCTGACACACTGAGTCATAGGCACAATGAATCATTCTAGTTAGCTTAAATGAAGTGAGCTTTCTATAAAGGGTCAGAAAAGTTTGAGTCTTTCAGTTTAATTCCATCTTTTCCCCTACTTCCCTCAGTCCTGAAGAAGAGAGTCCCCTTTCCCAGAATCTTTTGTTGGCTGTAAAAAACAAAATGGGAGGAGCTGTGAGCTCTTTCTTCTGCTTTTTTTTTTTTTTTTTTTGAGACAGCGTCTCATGTTGTCACCAGGTGGGAGTGCAGTGGTGTGATCTTGGCTCACTGCAACCTCCACCTCCAGGCTTAAGTGATCCTCCCACCTCAGCCTCCCGAGTAGCTGGGACCACAGGCATGTGCCACCACACCCAGCTAATTTTATTTTATTTTATTTTTGGTGGAGATGGGATTTTGTCATGTTGCCCAGGCTGCTTTCAAACTCCTGAGCTTAGGCAATCCACCTGTCTCAGCCTCCCAAAGTTCTAAGACTACAGGCATGAACCACCGTGCCCAGCCTTGTGAGCTCTTTCTTCTGATGTGATACACTGTCTATGAATGAACAGGACCCACAAACTCACAAATTTCAGATGCATCGATCATACTGTGTTCGATGAAAATTTGTCTGTAAAACTTCCCATTAGTCAGAAAGTATATTCACTAGTTATATCAAAAAAAGGATGTTTAGTCTCTTTGCCAGAAAAGCCTTAAGACACTTTTTTAAATGGTTAGACCTATATTGGGTCTTCACATTTAGGAAGTGAGGTTGATGGTGAAACTTGATACTTTGACCAGAGGTGTCACTAAGTGAAAATGACAGAAAGCTGGCCTGCTAGCTATGAAGAGATGAGTTCAGTGGACTTCAGCTGTGTTTTGTTTAGCCCATAATGACTGTTTTTGTGGCTCATCTAAGGCTTGGGATATGTATATATATATTTCTATTTCTTTTTCTTGCCAGCTTCCTTGATTGAAAGTTTTAATGGTGATGCAGAGTCAGTCAGTGATGTTCCGCCATCCACAGGAAATTCAGCATCTTTATCTCTTCCACTTGTACTGCAGCCTGGCCTCTCCGAGCCACCCCAGCCTCTACTACCTGCCTCAGCTCCGTCTGCTCCTCCGCCTGCTCCTTCCCTAGGACCTGGCTCCCAGCAAGCTGCATTTGGCAACCCCCCTGCTCTCTTACAACCTCCAGAAGTGCCTGTTCCCCACAGCACACAGTTTGCTGCTAATCATCAAGAGTTTATTCCGCACCCCCAGGCACCGCAGCCCATCGTACCAGGACTTTCTGTTGTTGCTGGGGCTTCTGCATCAGCAGCGGCAGTGGCATCAGCTGTGGCAGCACCAGCCCCACCACAAAGTACTACTGAGCCCCTGCCAGCCATGGTCCAGACTCTGCCCCTGGGTGCCAACTCTGTCCTAACTAATAATCCCACAATAACCATCACCCCGACTCCCAACACAGCTATCCTGCAATCCAGCCTAGTCATGGGAGAACAGAACTTACAATGGATATTAAATGGTGCCACCAGTTCTCCACAAAACCAAGAACAAATTGTAAGTATTATGTATAAATATACCCAGTGGGGTGAAGTGTGTTTACATAGGTGACGTGTTCAGAAGTTTTTACTTCAAAAAGAAAAGTGGCTGTCATATCCACCATGAAACTTGTCAATGACTACCTTTTAGTCATTTTCCACATAATCAAGTGGTATAAATGTAGGAAATGCTGTGGTCAGTACCTACAATAAGGAGGCAGAGAAACAGTCTTTATCTAGCAGGAGGCACTCGAACAAATATTCCTACTGATACTGGAATCTAATCACATCTTCTAGTATAAAAAAGCAGTCAGCAAACTCCAGAGGCCCCAGAATATTCCAGAAAAAGAAGGTTGTCTTCAAGGCAGAGTCAGACTGATGTGAGGGACTGATGTGACCCAGTCAGATGGCACCGGATAGCAGTGGCCAAGTCAGAGAACTAATCTGCTCCCACAGCCCATCATAGAATCATTTTCTGAGGAAGTGCTTGGTCTTGATGACTAGGGAAATGACTTGGTCTTTCAGTTAATGCTTCATGGTGAAGAATTGTCTCAGGGTGGCCAATCTCACAACTTTGAAAGCCTGATATTTGCCATATACCACACTGAATATCTGGAGGATACAGAAAAGAGAAAAAAAACCATGATTTTTTTTTTTATAAAAACGTATATTCTAGTTAAAGAGGCTAAAAATGCCAAAAAGAAAGTTAATATTACCAGTAGATTAAGTACTAAATACTAATAATGATAATTTAAAAAACATCAACAGCTATTATTTATTGAGTCCTTACTATGTGTAAGGACTTATGTGCTACATATTTTTTAAAATTGAGGATTTGCAACGTGTCGGTTATTACCTATGTACATTATTTTTAGATTACTTTTTTTTGGACTTTATTGAACAGATGGTACAGAGAGTTTCCATAAACCTTTCTCCATCCCCAGTTTCCCCTCTTATTATTATCATTATTATATATTTTGAGGCAGGATCTGGCTCTGTCACCCAGGCTAGAGTGCAGTGGTGCTATCTCAGCTCACTGCAACCTCCGCCTCTCGAGCTCAAGCCATCCTCCCACCTTAGTCTCCTAACTGGGACTACAGGCACCCACCACCACGACTGGCTAATTTTTTGTATTTTTTATAGAGATGGGGTTTCGCCATGTTGCCTAGGCTGGTCTTGAACTGCTAGACTCAAGCGATCTGCCTGCCTCAGTCTCCCAAAGTGCTGGGACCATAGGCGTGAGCCATCATGCCCAGCCCTCCCTCCCCTATTATTATTTTTTATCTGTATCATCTTGTGTTTGTCCCCTATTACTAACATCTTGCAACAGTGTGGTACATTTGTTACATCTGATGAACCAGTATTGATACATTATTATTATCTAAAGTTCATAGTTTACATTAGGGTCCATTCTTTGTGCTGTACAGTTCTATTGGTTTTGACAAATGCGTAATGTCATCTATCTACCATTACAATATCCAGAATAGTTTCACTTTTTAAAAAATTCCTTGTCCTTCACTTATTCATCCCTTCTACGTCTTCCCCCTCCCCTAGTAATCATTGATATTTTTACTATCTCTGTATACCTGCAGCTCTGTGTGTCACACAAAGCACATTTTAACATATTACAACAATCCTAGGAGGTAGGTCTAATTTTCCCAATGGAGGGCAGAGGTCCAGAGAGGTTTGGTGACTGGCTGAAGTTCCCACAGCTCACAAGTGGCAAAGCTGGGGTTTAAGCAGAAGCAGATTGATCCCAGAGTTGGTGGCTCTTGGCCACTGCGTTGAGGGGTTCAGACACTAATGGTTTGTTGGGTGACCATACAGGTCAGGTGAGCCTTGAGATACGGGTAGGAATTAGATGGAGAAAAGGATGTACTAAGTTGGAGAATCTAGAGGTGGATGTATGCTACTATCAGACACACTAGAAAGGCGATTTGGGGCTCAATAGGGAGAACACTCAAATTCCAGAAGTAGGCTGCCAATCCCCTCTAGATCTAGAGAGCCTGTTTCCATTTCTAGATAGCCAGAGTCATTGGAAAGGGCTTTCCAGTGTTGTGACCCAGCCCGCCTCTATGTGGTTTTTATTGTTTTCTCTGGCCCTGTCCTGGGGTGCTGAGTGAAACAAGTCATCCCTTTTCTTTTCAGGTATTTAAATATGGGTCTCACTTCTCCTTTTTTTTTTCTTTTTTTTTGAGTCAGAGTCTCGCTTTGTTGCCCAGGCTGGAGTGCAGTGGTGCAGTCTTGGCTCACTGCAACCTCCGCCTCCTGGGTTCAAGCGATTCTCCTGACTCAGCCTCCCGAGTAGCTGGGACTACAGGCACGCACCACCACGCCTGGCTAATTTTTGAATTTTTAGTAGAGACAGGGTTTCGCCGTGTTGGCCAGGCTGGTCTCCAACTCCTGGCCTCAGGTGATTTGCCCACCTTGGCCTCCTAAAGTGCTGGGATTACAAGCGTGAGCCACCACGCCCGGCCTCCATTATTATTTTATAGTATCATCTGCCATATAACTTAGCCAGAAGCTTTCACTTTCCTCCCACACTCATCTTAGAGGCACTTTTTAATTTCCTTTTTAGAGAGATAAAAGACAAAGCTGCCTCAAGATAAGACTTCAAGAAAGTAGAAACCTTTTAGCCCATGTAATAGGAAGTATAGTAGAGTGATAAGGGTGACTTTCTGGGCATGGGTTTGTAGTCCTGCTTAGTCATAATATAAATAATGAATGTTCTCGAACTCCTGACCTCAGGTGATCCACCCGCCTCGGCCTCCCAAAGTGCTGGGATTACAGGTGTGAGCCACCATGCCCGGCCTTAAATAATAATGTTTACTGAATGTTCACCATGCGCCAAGTGTCCTACGTGCATCATCTCATTTCATCCTCACAGGGGCCTTTGAAAGGTTTTTGGTTATTGTCTTAGTCCATTTTCTGTTGCTTAAAACAGAATACCCCAAACTGGGTAATTTATAAAGAAAACACATTTATTTCTTAGAGTTATGGAGGCTGAGAAGTCCAAAGTTGAGGGGCCACATCTGGAGGGCCGCCCTGCTGGTGTGGAACCCTCTGCAGAGTCCTGAGGCAGCACAGGGCATCACATGGCAAGGGGTTGAACATCCTAGCTCAGGACTCTCTTCTTATTATTTATTTATTTTATTTATTTTTATTTTTTTGAGATGGAGTCTCACACTGTCGCCCAGGCTGGAGTGCAGTGGCGAGATCTTGGCTCACTGCAACCTCCACCTCCCAGGTTCACACCATTCTCCTGCCTCAGCCTCCCGAGTAGCTGGGACTACAGGCACCCACCACCACGCCCAGATAATTTTTTATATTTTTAGTAGAGACGGTTTCACCGTGTTAGCCAGGATGGTCTCCATCTCCTGACCTTGTGATCCGCCCGCCTTGGCCTCCCAAAGTGCTGGGATCACAGGTGTGAGCCACCACTGTGCCCGGCCTTTTTGTTTGTTTGTTTGTTTGTTTAAGAGAGAGAATCTCACTATGTTCCAGGCTGGGCTGGCCTTAAACTCCTAGGCTCAAGCGATCCTCCCTCAGTCTTCCAAATAGCTGGGACTATAGGCATGTACCACCACACCCTGCTTCTCTTACTCTTCTTATAAAGCCACCAGTCCCACTCCCATGATAACCCATTAATCCATGAGTGAATTAATTCATTCATGACCCAGTCACCTCTTAAAAACCCAGCCTCTCAATACTGCCACACTGGGGATTAACTTTCAACATGAGTTTTGGAGGGGACAGATACTCCATCCATAGCAGTTATTATTCCTGTTTTTATAGGTGGGGAAACAAGACTCTAAGAGGTTAAATCACATGCTCAACATCAACAACTAATAAGTGGCAGAGCTTGGACTTGAATCCAAGTGTGGCCGAATCTAGGGCCCACCCTTGAACTATGCTGTGCACCTTATAGCACAAGGCCTTTACAGGGCTGTCTGCCTGTGAGAGGAAGCCTTAGCCTGTCCTTGGCATGCAACTTAATCTCTGAGGGGAAAAAAAGAACTTTCCAGCTTTCTTAGAAGTATTGGGAGGCAGCAGGGAAGGTGGAGAATCTGAAGGAAAGCTAGCCCTGGGATCCCTCTGAGAAGACCATCTGCTTGAGAAAAGCAACCTTGGAGGAGGAGGAGCCTTTGGATACAGAACCTACTGGATTAGGCAGCTGGGAGCCAGCCAACTAGTAGCGTACAAAGCTAGCTACGTTGTCAGCACTGAATGTCAAACAGTGCAGTGACCTCATGTCAGAGCACAAACAAAACATCACTCAGTACAAAAACCCCTGAACACTAAGGGTTTTCTGTCTTCTTGGATGACCATTACAATCAGGGAGGCTTCAGGTCCCTGGGGATCTGCCATATTACAGTGGCTATAAATGGGATTTCTTTTTCTTTTTTCAGCAGCAAGCATCTAAAGTTGAGAAGGTGTTTTTTACCACTGCAGTACCAGTAGCCAGTAGCCCAGGTATGTAATTCCATGTTAGCCTTAAGAGAAGGCAACTCTGTGGGCCCCTTGAGGCACAGCTAATTACTGCTTTGTCCCAGTTTCTAAAACTTTAAAAATCTCTAAACAGCCTCAGTTAAATTCTTCACATTGTATTGTTGGCTAGAGTATTTCATATTCTCACAACTATTAAAAGTTAGTATACTTCTCGCCAAAATACTGTGTTTAACATTCTTTAGTAACAGTTCTTTCTCTTTCAGATACAGCTTTAAAATGTAGCCAGAAAAAAAAATTTGAATCACAGTTAATGCTAAAGAGGGCAGTTGTTAATTCACTGGACTCTTTTCTAATTACAGTAATGAAGAAATAGCATCTGGGTCAGAGACACATAGAGAGCTGAAAGTTCCTTTTATTCAAATTCTTTATTTTATCGATTAAGACACTGGGACCCAGAAAAATTAAATGACTCCCCCAAGGTTATAAGTGAATTTATGGTGGAACCAAAGCACTAGTTGTCAGGCCTCCCAGTTCCCACCCTGTTCTCCTGCTCATTGGCCTTTGTTTTGTTTTGTTTTTGAGACAAGGTCTTGCTGTCACCCAGGCCACAGTGTGGTGGCACGATCACAGCTCACTGCAGCCTGGACCTCCTGGGCTCAGGCAGTCCTCTTGCCTCAGCCCCCGCAAGTAGCTGGGACCATAGGCATGCACCACCATGCCTGGTTAATTTTTCTTTTTCTTTTTTTTTTTTTGAGATGGAGTCACGTTCTGTTGCGGAGGCTGGAGTGCAGTGGCGCAATCCCGGCTCACTGCAACCCCTGCCTCCCAGGTTCAAGTGATTCTCATGCCTCAGCCTCCCAAGTAGCTGGGATTCCAGGCACTCACCACCATGTCCAGCTAATTTTTGTATTTTGAGTAGAGACAAGGATTCACCATGTTGGCCAGGCTGGTCTCGAACTCTTGACCTCAAGTGATCTGCCCACCTTGGCCTCCCAAAGTGCTGGGATTACAGGTGTGAGCCACCAAGCCCGGCCTAATTTTTCTTTATTATGTGTAGAAACAAAGTCTCACTATATTGTTCAGACTGGTCTCAAACACCTGGGCTCAAGAGATCCTCCCTCCTCAGCCTCCCAAAGTACAGGGATTACATACAGGCATGAGCCACTGCACCTGGTCCTTCCCATTGGTCCTTAGCTCTGTCAAGACACACAAAGTCTGGCTGAATATGGAGCAAGTGTTTGCACAACACGTGAGAGATGAGTAAGATGTCCTAAAGGAGCTCAGAGTCTCCTGGGCAGGCAGAACCAAGCAGGTCCTGTACCGCAAGGAGAGAGGTGTGGAAGGAAGATAGCAGCACTGTGCATGTGTGCTGGGAAGCTGGGTACGTGCTTCATCCAAGCTAGCCCTCTGCATAGGCCTACAGAAGTGGGGGAGTGAGCTAGGTCTTGAAAGATGAGTGTCAGTTCTCCAGAAGAGTAGTGTCCAGGGATTTTAGGCATAAGGAAGAGCCCACAGGCCCAGGGGTGTAAAGAACGTGTCAGGAACAAGGTAGGCATCCACATGGAGGGTGCAGTGGAGAATGACTGGAAATGAAGCTGGAAATACAGGGTGCATCTAGATTGTGTGTGTGACTTTCTAAGGAAAGGGGACTTTGTCTTCGGCTGGGGAGTGTCCCTCTTTTACCTCAGAGGGCATGTGGTCCAATTTAAAGCAGAACAAACCCCGAAGTGTGGTGACCATCCTTCCCATGGTTCCCGTGGCACTCTGCTCTCACCTAGCCCATGTATCCCTGTCCCTCATGCTCCTGCCTCTGTAGCTACTTGAAGAGCAGTCTCTCTTGCCTCTCTCGCAGGGAGCTCTGTCCAGCAGATTGGCCTCAGTGTTCCTGTGATCATCATCAAACAAGAAGAGGCATGTCAGTGTCAGTGTGCATGCCGGGACTCTGCAAAGGAGCGGGCAACCAGCAGGAGAAAGGGCTGCTCCTCCCCACCCCCTCCAGAGCCGAGCCCTCAGGCTCCTGATGGGCCCAGCCTGCAGCTCCCAGCACAGACTTTCTCTTCAGCCCCTGTTCCCCAGTCATCATCCTCTACCATACCCTCCTCCTGTGAGCAAAGCCGGCAAGCAGAGACTCCTTCAGACCCTCAGACAGAAACGTTAAGTGCCATGGATGTGTCAGAATTTCTGTCCCTCCAGAGCCTGGACACCCCGTCCAATCTGATTCCCATTGAAGCACTACTGCAGGGGGAGGAGGAGATGGGCCTCACCAGCAGCTTCTCCAAGTGAAGGGCCCGTGTGTGCTCACCTGCGGGAAAAAGTGGGTGAGCAGGAGGCATGAGGTACAATGCCTGCCATCATGGGTCAGAAATTTGAAGGATGAAGAAATCTACTGTTTGAAATCCTCACCTTTCAGACGTATTTTCTTTATTCACATCCCAGGAGCATCCATTTTAAGGAACTAATCTTTGGAAAAAAACAAAAAACAACAAAAAAAGCTAAGTTATAAGTGAACTGTTTGGCTGCACTGTATGTCACTTTTGCTTGTTGTCATGTGAACTTGGAAACTAAGGTTACTCGTGTGCATAAAAATTCTAAATGAAAGGGTGTGGTTTCCATCAATCTGATGCTGCCCATCGCTTGCACTGGGGTCTTTGTGGATTGGGCAGGAGAGTTCAGTGTGTTGGGTGTTGCTCCTTCCTGTGTGTCTTTTGAATCTGAGGCTGACATTTGCTTGGAAGGCCAGACCCTTGCTTCATCAGAGAGGGCAGTGGCAAAGGCCAGTGAGGCAGCTGTGAGTTGGACAGGGTTCAGGTGAGATGGTGTTGTCATTTGTGCTTAGTGTTGGTGGTGCTCAGGGTGGATGACACGGGTCGTTCTGCAGCCCGCTTCAGCACAAATAGTCAGTTTAAGGCCTGGCTCACAGGCTGTGGGGTTGATCTGGCTCTGCAGAGGCCCTAGGCAGCTTGTTGACTGCTGTCTGTCGATGACATGTGCAAAGCAGGTTCTAGCAACATGATCACTGTCTTTGCCTTCCTGGTTCTTTCTCTCAGTTGGTTGCCAGGGCTTGCAGATCGCAGTGAATTTTCCTTGGGGAACATCGCTGTTTTGTCCTAGAGAGAACTTGTGGCTTATGGCCAGTTGCTGTTTGGTGGTCTGCCTTCTTTTTAATGGTATTTTCTTCCTCAGAGCAGAAGGGCCGCATTTTGCTTATCAGAAGAAGGTGCAGATTTAAGGGAATTCGTATGAGGTGGCATATAATTGGCAGGCCAGGTGTCCTGGTTCCAGGTTCCAGCCAGGCTTTGGGTTGCCCCCTCCATCTCTGTCCCCCTCTGGATTTTGCATACAGCCTCATACAGTGCAAACAAGGATGTGACTTGCTCAGCTTAGTCATGTGATTTATTTAAAAAAAAAGAAAAAAAAGAAAAATCACAAAACGATGATCTTCTACTCAGGGTATAGCAAAACAAAAAAATTCCCTTTCCACCAAAAAGCCTGAAATGTTGCAATAAGTTATCTCATTTGGAATGTTTCACTAAGTTGTGTTATAGGAAAAAATTGTGTGTGTGTGTGTGTGTGTATAGAATTATATCCATCTGTCTGCCTTTGGCTCCAAGTCATTGCCTCTTAAAATAAAAGATACAGTCCACACTAGCATGAAGGTTTCTCTCAACAGGCTATATTAACATAGTCATGAGTGCTGACCAAACTCACCAAGCTCAGAGGCCAGGCATGGCCCAAGGTGCAGAATAGGCCTCTGCCTCCCAAGAGCCATTTCCCTGCCCTGAGCAAAGAGTGGTGGTCCACAAACAAGGCTGCTCTTCCAAACTGACAGTGTCAGGCAGGAAGCAGCCATAATTTTGCCTTGCATTTTCATTCCCTAATGTAAAGGGATCTGCATTGGTCACTCTCCTGTTCTCTGAGCCATTGCTCAGGGCCAGCCAAGACATTGTTGAGAGCAGATAATTTACCTTGGAGCCAGGGGCCCTCCCTGGCTTTAGCAAGGATGTTCAGGGACAGACAAAGAGGGCAGTGGTGGTGAATGTTGTTACTGCCATGAGGAGAAATGGTCTTACCTACAAGCAGCCAATTTCTCATTCCAGGACTCTAGCCAGAAGAATTGATTTCTTTTTTTTTTTTTGAGACGGAGTTTCGCTTTTGTTGCCCAGGCTGGAGTGCAGTGGCCCGATCTTGGCTCACCGCAACCTCCGCTTCCCAGGTTCAAGCAATTCTGCCTCAGCCTCCCGAGTAGCTGGGATTACAGGCATGCACCACCATGCCTGACTAATTTTGTATTTTTAGTAGAGACAGGGTTTCTCCATGTTGGTCAGGCTGGTCTTGAACTCCCAACCTCAGGTGATCTGCCCGCCTCGGCCTCCCAAAGTGCTGAGATTACACGTGTGAGCCACCGTGCCTGGTCTAGGGAATTGACTTCTTTTTGACCTTCTGCACTCCCTTCTCCAAAAGGATTGTGGCTTCTGATGACCACTGACCTCAGCAGAAGTTGATAAGGCAGGAGGAATTTCCTGTTAACACAGTGGGTTAGTCCTCCTGGAAAACCAGCTGCTGAGCATGAGTTTTCCTTGGATCTCTCTGGGCCTTGCATCCACAGGAAGCTTTGAGGTAGGGCCCTTGGTGTTTACAACTTCTGAGAGAGTAGTGATGGGACCCCAAAGTAAGCTAGTATCAGAGGGCAGTAATGACCTTCCCATATGCCCATCCTGTGGTCACCTGGGATTTGGGTTCCCTGGGAGTGGAGGTGGGAAATAGGAGCCCAGGGAAGGACATTTGAAGCACCCACGGTTTAAATATCGACTCTTCCTGGCTAGCCAGGGCGTGCTCATGTTGGGGCCTACCCAGGTCAGTGGCCTTTTCACTCTCAAAGATCAGGGGTGACGAAGCAGCATCTTAAACAGTGTTTAGGCTGACAGATTTTTCCAGTTGAAGAAGCTGAAGTATCTGCCTTTTGAGGGTGACTTTAGATTACAAGAAAGACTATCAGATCCAATCAGCTTTTGAAAAATCAGGAATGTGCTTAAAATGCCAGTGAGTTGTGAAGATCAGGTTTATTTCCCAGGGTAGGCAGTCTTCCTTTCCCTCCTTTTCCAGTTCTTTTTTCCTACCTGCCCTTCTGTAAGCCTGGTCTCTAGTGCCAAGGACCTTGGAAGAAAGAGGGCCCCTAGCTCAGCTGGAGCCAGAAAGAACCTTCATGGTGAGTGTGGTTTCCCAAACGTGGGAAATGAACCTAGGGTGAGATTAGGGAGGATTTGTAGAATTCTAGCAGGTAAAAATCAAGCCTTTTTCCTCTCCCATAGTAAACTTAACCATTTTCACCCTGTACATTATCTTCTAGTTCCTACTAACATCTCCAGTTAGACAACCGCTTCAAAGGGTGCTTAGCACCAGGGATTGGGGTTCATGGACTTAGGAGGTGGTAAGGAAACTGACTGGCACCACCAAACTGCCTTAGTGAACTTGGCCCTTCCCAGGCAGGTAGGTTGGGCATTGAGGGAAAGTGGCCCAGTCTTTCCTGGCAGGGTCTGGCCAGTCTCATGGGAGCACCACTAGTGTGGTGACAGAAGTGGTGTCATTTATTGAATTCCACCTCCGTTTAGAAGGAGATCATGGTACAAAGCCCAGGAGGGGCCTTAAGATGTGAAGATCTCTCTGAGTAAAAGGCAAGGGGCTTCTCTTCTTCACCTCTGGGATAGGTGGTAGATCGGAGAGTTTTATTTTCAGGGTCAAGGCTGTGGACTGATGGGGATATTGGAGGGTGGGTGGGTTTTCCTGAGAGACTTTGTATAATGCTGAATGTGTCCAGAGGGACAAGTTTGCAGAACCTCATATTGGTATATTAAAGAAATAATAAAATAAAAAAGCACTTTAGGTTATTTTATCTTTAACCCGATTGCTGCAATTTCTTTTGTGTGTATATATACATATATATACTTTCCACAAAGTTTATTTTTTGCTCAGAATAAAAAGTTAAATTGAGGTGTGAAAAGAAAAGCACTTACCTTGGTGCAATATGTGTAGCTTGATGGTCGTTGTCCCATGTGGCCCTGGCCTGGCCGCGTTTTTCCGCTCAATCAGCCCTGTGCTATGAGGCTGTCCATAGAGAAACACTATTATGCATTCTCAGCAACCGCTCAATCTATGCAAGCCTTCCCTGTGTGCCCCAGGGCGCCCCCTCAGGCTCTCTGAAGAACTGCTGTGGGTCCTGTTTTCTGCTGACTGTTGAGGCCCTTTTTCATCACTTCTTGGTCTCTCGCCATCTTTTCCCTCTTCACCATTACAAAATGATGCCTGAAAGGAAGGAACAGATTGTTCCTAGGTAGAAACCTGGCACCTTCTAGACTTTGATATTTGTAATCACATCCATTGTCCTTAAAGACTTTTCCAGAGTCATTGAAACCATTGATGTGTGGAACTGCAACAGTATTTCTCAAGAGTTTACAATTGTCTTACACCACCAATCAGAAATATGTTTGGGGGGGCATGGGTGGCAGGGGGCAACATGAGCCATTTCCATACTGGTCCCCATACTACCTGTGTTGGTTCCTTAAGCAAAAAGGCCTCCAGCCTTCATTAAATCCTATAAACAAACATTAAATCCTATGAATCATTATCAACTTTCTTCCTTTATTCCACCTCCCCGATTTTATCTTCAATTCTCAGGCTATAGAATAGACGAGTTTTAAAATATACTTCAGCCACCCTTTACTCCATCTCCCCCATTTTATCTTCAATTCTCAAATTCTCAGGCTATAGAATAGGCAAGTTTTAAAATATAATTCAGCCAAAGCAGAAAGATTTTCATAGATCTAATATGCAAATGGTTCTGCTGGGACATAGATCAGAAATTATCTGTTCCTTAATATTTCGGGGTGGAGGCAACAAAACTGGAGCATATTTCTGATTGGTTAGCCATATTAGCCTGTTTCCTCTTGCATGTTTTTTTAGGGAGAGAGGGAAGGGGTCCTGTATTTCTTCTGATGCCCTTAGGGGAAGCCAACGACCACTGGGCATTTCTCACTGTTACTCCTGTTCAAGAGAGGGCTTCTCAGTCTGCACTGAAAAATGCAAATTAAACTGGATCTTTATGTCAATGTGTACATAGTACAAGCTTTTCTACTGGAATTGAGGTTCAAAACCACACGCTGCCCTTTTGGTGGTGTGCCTGTTGGGCCAAAATTGGGCGATCACGTAGTGTCCCTTTCTCAGCTCAATGCAGTTTCTACTTTTTCTTATGGGAAAATTTTTCATAAAACCTTTTTGCACCAAAACCCAGGGGTGTTTTTTGCAATATCCTTGTTATCCTCGTAGTGTGCCAAGTCAGAGGCTTCTCTTGCCCTTTTCCTGCTGTGTTCTCAGGCCTCCCAAGGGCTGTTTGACTCAACAGTCTACATCCTTAGTTGTGTTTTGGAGAATGTGAGGGTGGGGGTCAGAGTTCAAAGTGTCTGTTCCCTTTTCCTGTGAACTCTTCCTAGTCCGTTTGGGGAAGGTGGCTGGAAACAGATTGTTGCTTAATCTCTGGCTCAGATCTTCTAGCCAGGAAAGGCAAGAGCCCCCAAGAGCCCTCTTTTTTTTTGACATACACTAATCATTGGCCGGGGTCTTGGTGACAACTTTTAAAATCCCAAATAGTTTTATTTGGATTATGTAAAAGTAAGTGTGAAACATGGGAACAACGGACTTCCACTGAGCGATATGAAAACGTTACAGGTTCAGTACTTCCAAAGGAAGAAACCTCCAAACCCAAAAAAGAATAAATACGAATTTGTATTTTTGAAGAATGTGAAATAATGGTGTTTGCTTAATTGCTCATTTTGTATAAACTTAATATTGTACTTTAAAATATCTGCTAAGAAGTGAAAATTTAACTTTTTGGAATTGAAAAAGCAATATTAAATACTAATGAAATCCTAATTAAATGCTTATTTAAATCTGGTAGTATCTGTGGCATTTCTTCCCAACCCTGTCTATAGTTGACATTTTTCCACCATTCCCCCCTTCCCAGCCATCAGTCTTGGAGAGGGAGGGGACAGAAAGGAAACGTCGGTCACCAGGAGAGTCTGCAGGTTTCCTTTTAATCAAGGCTCTGCTGAAGGTGTTTTGTGGGGCTAAAAGCCCCCAAAGCATGAAATGGACATGTAACATCACCTGGATCCCCCATAGCAGGCCAGACCACTCTGGCGAGCACTGCTAGTCTGCCCAAATCTGGGTAATCAGACTGGGTATTCATTGGCTACATTTCAAAGCACAGCACTGCTTCCAGCCAGGATGAAGTGGGAGTGAACCCAGCTGCTAGCAGAGCTGCCATTCCAGGCTGAGAGCCAGCCAAGTACCAGCCACTGCCAGTGAAGACTGGCCCCTTTACTGAAAGGAGTTGTTCAGAGTCCAGCCACCGGCCCTGGGGAGGGAGAGAAGTCAGGGCATCCGGCTTGGGGATGGTCAGGGCTCCGCAGCTCCATCGCCAGCATCCTTTGGAAAGCCGCCTCTGGTGGCGACAGCCGGCTGCGGGGGCGCTCCGGGTTTGGCTGAGACGTTCTAGTTGGAACAGAAAGGAAAAAAGTGAGGCTGGGAGGAAAGGCCTTGGATTAGGCCCCACAAGGATATGGCCATTTGGCATTTGGATAGTATTAACTTTTTCGAAACCTCTCACCACATCAACGGAGGTTAGGGATAAAGCAGTGGAGAGATACTTCCCCCCTCCAGGGTAAGCTAGGGCTTGGCCAGCCTAGCCAGTGGGCAGACCCCACCCCACCCCGGCCCAGCCCAGGGTGGGCACTAACCCCGCCACCAGCCGGCT